ATCCAGAATGGACACCCGGGAGCCCCACTCCACACCCACATGGGCGCAGCACAGGGTCTGTATCCAGAATGGACACCCGGGAGCCCCACTCCACATACACGTGGTGCACACGCACACACTTGCACACGCACACACGCACACACACAAGCAGGGATCCAGAGAGCGCCCAGGAGGACCAGTTGGGAGGGATCTGACAGAAGGGGCACCAGGCCAGTGACTCAAAAGGTCCTGTCTGGCCACGGGAGGGAGGTTCAGTCAACAGAGATCCACAAAGCCCCGTTTGCAAAACAGGCCACCCCAGCAGGCTGGCTGCCAGTTGGCTGCAGGGACCTGGCATCTCTGTGATCCGCTCTCATTGTGCCTTCCAGCATCAGCTCCCTCTGCACCCCTTGCACAGTCTCCAACCCAGCCAGGCAGCCCGCGGCCCCGCCCTGCCTCCCTGCCCACACACTCGCCTTCCTCCCGGCAGCAATCCGTCCCACCCAGTCCAGGGGTTGCCGGTTCCCCCGCACCTGGTCAGCGCCCCCTGGGTCCTCACACAGGACAGAGCCCATGCTACCCTCTGGGATGCATGGCCACAAACAGCCTCACTCAGCCCCGTACCCACGCTCAGCCAGAGCACCCGAAGGGGCGGAATGTGCGTGGGACCCAGGGCGAGGGGGATGGCGGCACGTGGGACCTGCAGTGAGGGAAAGGCGCCCCAGCGGCAGGGGCTGGCACCTTGAACTCCATCTCCAGGTATTGTGGCTCCTTGCGCTCCTGCATGAGCCCCAGGCAGAAGGCCTGGAAGTTGATCTCGTGCTTGGTCTGCTTGATGATCTCCCGCAGCAGGGCCCGCGAGGCCCGCAGGTAGTCGTCCTTGTTGGTCAGCAGGTCCTGGAACACCATGGCCAGGAACTGGGGCAGAGAGAGGCTGTGTGGGAGGCTGCCCAACGCTGCCGACCCCGTCACAGGCCCCTCCAGGAGCACACGCCCCGGCTCCTTCCCACAGCACCCGTGGGGGTGGTGCCCGAGGATGCTGCAGCGGGTCTCAAGCAGTGCGGGGCATGGGGTGGCGGGCTCCTTGCTCTACTGGCTGCCAGCCCTTGGCGAGCAAGGGCCACATCTGATTCCCCTCTCGGCAACCAGCACGTGGGGAGTTGGTCCTCGTGAAATGAGGAGAAGGATTAATTAACAGACGCTGGGGGTGTGGGACACCAAGTGGCAGAGTCATAGAAGTGCGTGTGCCATCTCAGCCCAACCACGCGCCACAGGCTGAACAGAAACCAAAGACCACCACCCGAGATCTGAAAGGATGCACCCCCCGTCTCAAAATGCCGGGCTGCAAAGATGACAGCGCCGAGCCGGAGCGGCCGTGCCTGCCTCCCTCGTGTTTCGCACGCCGCAGAGCCCACCGAGAGGCCTGACGTGCTAGTGGCAACGGGAGCATCTCCCCAGTCCGCTTCAAAGGACACACGGGAATCCAAGGGTCCTACAGCCAGGGCTACAGGGACTCCTGCTTAACTGAGGGACCCACTGCACAGAAGGCAGGTCTGGGCCAGGCACAGGGGCTCACGCCTGTCATCCCAGCGCTTTGGGAGGCTGATGCAGGAGGACCACTTGAGCCCAGGAGTTTGAGGCCAGCCTGGGCCACGTAATAAGACTCCATCTCTACAAAAAATTTTAAAAACCACCTTATTATCCAAAGGCCGGAATGAGCTTGAGAAATAAAAATACAAGCTGGCAGGTCTGGGTCTTAGCTCAGAAACCTGGGTGGCTTTTAAGGCTCAGTGTGGCTCCCTCCTAAATGGACAGAGTGTCCGTTTCTGAGAAAGATGCTGGGCGCTGTGGCTGCACCCACTCTAGAAATGGTCAACCTCATACCCAAGTGACTTTCAAAAGCTCCTTCCCGAGCCCCAAGAGCATTCTCCCACAAAGCCCCACCAATCCGTGGGCTTCCCCAGACGCCAGGTGTCTCTCCAGCCCGTAGCCCCCCATTCAGGTGTGGAGGGCAAGGCCTAGGCCTACCTTGGGCGCCAAGTCAGAGCTGTGCTGCAGCGCGGTGTAGAGGACCTGCATGTTGTTGGGGTTCCGGGCGCTGGAGAGCTCATTGAAGATCACCAGCTTGATGGTGCTGCCCAGGTTGTCCTTGTGCGCGCTCAGCAGCTCCCTGGGTGTGGGAGCCAGGCAGGTGAGGGTGCAGGCCCCGTCCCCGCTCTGCCTGCACCCCCGCTCTGCCCCTGCCCGCCACTTTGCCCACACCCCTGCTCTGCCTGACACCCCACTCCACCCGTACCCCCGCTCCGCCCCTCACCCCGTTCCCCCCGCACCCCCGTTCCGCCCCTGCCCGCCGCTCCACCCCTGCCCGCCTCGCACCTGATGCACAGCATGAAGTGGTTGAGGAGGACTTTGGGCTTGAGGCGGATCTTGATCAAATGTGAGATGACGTCCATGTCTTCAGAACCATGCGTGTTGCAGTTCATACAGACGGACATCAGCAGGTCCTGGGCCGGCCGGGTCAGCTGCGGGGCCACGGAGGGAGCTGTGGGCTCACGGCCACCCCGGCTGTGGGACCACACGGAGCCTGCCCCCACCCCCTGCCGGGCACTCCTGCCCCACCACCCCCGCGACCCTGCCCCAGGCACCCCCGCACCTTGGGGTTCTGCAGCCACATCTCCAGCTTCTGCACCGCCAGCAGCCGCACCTCCTTGTAGCCGCAGGTGGAGGTGAGGAGCCGCAGGAGGTTCCTGGAGACGTTGTCAATGGGCTGGCGCCGGTTCAGCTGGTCCCGCAGCATGTCCAGGACGTACTCCTCCACACTCTCCGCGAGCTCTTCGTACCTAGGTCAGAGAAGGGAGCAGGGAAGGAGGAAGGCGGCCCCGAGACACCTGTCCCAACCACCTCCCACTGGGACCAGGCGGGCACGCAGCTACCTGGGCATGAGCTGGCCCTCCTGCTCGGGGCTCAGTTTCTCCTCTGCGATCAGCAGCTCCGTCTGGCTGTCCTCCTCCTCCGTGAGGGAGGGGTGTGGGCTGCTCCCTGCAGACCAAGGAGAGGGCTCCATGCAGCGCCTCCCACCCGCCTGAACTCCCAACCCTCCCCTGCCCTGGGGCTGGACACCCGCCCTCCCCAGCCGGCAGTGTCTCTCACCCGCGCCCAGGTCGCCAGCGCCGCGGCCCGCCTCCCCCTGCAGCAGCACACTCCTGGGGGGCATTCTGGTGTTGAAGGCCGTCTGGATGTTGTCCACAAACGTCTTACAGTGAGGGCTGTCCACCCAGATCCGCTCCCCCAGGGAGTCCTCGATGTACACCTGTGTGGGAGCCACACCCTCAGCCCCGAGCCCAGCCGGGCAGCCAGGCTGGAGAATGTCTGCCTGCGGCCCAGGGACTGGGCGCCCAGGCAGCCCTCTGCAGCTTCTGGGTGCAGAGGGGACTGTGCCATGACCATCGGGGCTGTCAGACACAGTCCTCTGGAGAGAACACCCTCCTGCTTTTCTCCCGCCCCCGCCCCGCCCCGCCCATGGCCCTCTGCTGTCTTCACCATCTGGGGAGAGGCCACTCACCTTGACAAAGATCTCGGGCCAGTTCTCGTCCTCCTCGTAGGCGGCCATGAGGAGGTTACAGGCCAGCACGGACACCAGGCTGTTCCCCTTGGCCTTGAAGTTGATGGAGGCGTCCCGCCGCAGGAGGCTGCACAGAGCCTGCCAGGGAGGGTTCATGTCACGTGGTAGCCTTGCTGGCCCCAGAGGCAAAGCTGGGGTGGGCCGGGCAGGACACTGAAGGGGGAGGTGAGGAGGGGAGCCGAGGGCCCCAGCCCTACTCGCCTCCCGCCAGGGGCCCGGCTCGCACCTCGATGACGCCCTCGGTGGCGAAGATGTTGGGCTTGATCTTGGCCAGGTACATGAGGCTCAGGTAGAGGGTGCTGTCGGGCTTGGCGCGGGTGACCTTCAGCTGCTTCACGGCCCCGCACAGCACGCCCTCGATCCTGTCGTCGTTGCCTTCCAGCTCGGCCGCCTCGATCTCGTCCAGCAGCACCGTGGGCAGTACTGGCCGGGGCAGGTGGTACAGTCAGAGCAGGGACAGGGCAGGGTCGCCCCAAAGCCTTGGGACACTGGTAAGACCACGAGGAACCCGGAGCTCTCAGGGTCAGCGCTGCCATGGACCAGCCATCCACCCTCAGGAGAGTTCCCACAGGGGACAAGCACCCCACCAGATGGTCCCCTCAAGACAACAGGCTGCCCCACAGGCCTCAGCACTGGCCCTCCAGCCACTCCAGTCCTGGCTCCACTGTGTCCCACATGGCTACCCTGAAGGCTACAGACATTTCCCAGCAAGTCAGGCAACCTGCAGCCTTACTTTCCACTGAATCGCAGCTCCACTGAATACTTTCCACTGTGGACCACGGCACAGCAGCCCTCTCTTCGCACCTGCCCCAGCTCCAGTCTCCAGCATGCTCTTCTCCCCTTTTCCCCCCTCTTTCCATGGGTGCTCGACTCACAACCTTCCTCCAGACGAGTGCCTGACCCTCCCACAACCTCCGAGGAGTACCAGGGCCAGCACACACCTTTCCTCTCCCCTTGTCTGCCACTGTTGGATCGGAGGTTTTCTCATTTTCATTCTGATTCTTCTCTGACCCAGGAGTTTTTAGGACTGTGTTTTAAATATCCACACACAGCCGGGCACGGCGGCTCGCGCCTGTAATCCTGCCATTTTGGGAGGCTGAGGCGGGTGGATCATCTGAGGTCAGGAATTCGAGACCAGCCTGGCCAATACAGTGAAACCCTGTCTCTACTAAAAATACACGTTAGCCAGGCATGGGGGTGCATGCCTGTAATCCCAGCTACTTCGGAGGCTAAGGCAGGAGAATCACTTGAACCTGGGAGACGGAGGCTGAAGTGAGCTGAGATCGTGCCACTGCACTCCAGCCTGGGGACAGTGCAACACTTCGTCTCAAAAAATAAATACATAAGCCGGGCACGGTGGCTCATGCCTGTAATCCCAACACTTTGGGAGGCCAAGACAGGTGGATCACGAGGCCGGGAGATCGAGACCATCCTGGCTAACACAGTGAAACCCTGTCTCTACTAAAAATACACAAAATTAGCCGGGTATGGTGGCGGGTGCCTATAGTCCCAGCTACTTGGGAGGCTGAGGCAGGAAAATGGCGTGAACCCGGGAGGCGGAGCTTGCAGTGAGCCGAGATTGCGCCACTGCACTCCAACCTGGGCTACAAAGCAAGACTCCATCTCAACAAAAAGTAAATAAAATAAAAATAAATAAAAAGTAAATATCCACACAGACATGTGGACAGAGGCATTGTAATCCACCTTAACTGCACCTGGGACAAAGACTTGAAAGAAATTTCCTAATGCCCTGAGATAAGCAGGGGGGAGAAGTGGGCTGCCAGCACGGAGGAACGGCCTGGGACAGATACCACAAATGGCTGGAAGCAGCCATCTCTCTGTTTTGCGAGAATAATATTGTAAAGCGATCTACCACTCAGAATATGCTTTTCACAACCACATCTCCTGTCATCTTCAAAATCTCCTTTCTACGGGAGGGGGTGATAAAAATAAATAAATAGATAAATAAAACACCCAGCAGCCGGAGGCCGAGAACCCGGGCCGGGGTGGGGCCTGTGGTCTCTGTCCTCGATCCTCACTGGCACCAGCTGCCCAGTGACAGGCCTCATGGGACGTCTGAGACTCGACCTCCTAAAGCAGCCCCCCAGCTGTGCCATCCTGGGCTGTTTGCCCCCAGGGCTCCCTGATGCCAAATGAGTCCAGGACAAACACTGCCCACAGCGTCCAGCCTCGGCTATCACTAGCGTGTGCTGCCCAGGCCAGGCCTCCATTCCCTGGGCACGGTCCATTGTCTGCTTGGCACCTCCCTTTCCTGCCTGCCCCAGTTTCATTGCCTGTGCTTCCAGGCCTGAGCCCACACTGCAACTCCCTGCCAGGCCTCCTCCGTCCCAGGGCCGTCAGGGACTCACTCACAGGCTTGCACTGCAGCAGCCTGATCCCTCCGACGGCAAGGCCACAGCCCACAGCCCACAAGTCCCCTGGGCCCTGTCTGGCACAAAACTCAGTAATCAGAGGTGGCGTGGCTTGAACAGACAACTCACTACCAAAGTCATCAGGACGCTTGTTCTTTTTGACTACCACAAAGAAATTACCCAAAAGAAATGCTCCCACAGAAACAAAATACTGCAGACCACGAGGCTTGCTGGGGCTGGTGTGACAGCTGCCAGAGTGACTCCCAGGAAGTCATGGAGCCTTGAAATATGGTCGTTGGGAAAATGGTGCAGAGGAGCAGGGGCGATTCTAGGCACACAGTTAAAGGCATTTCTGTGAGAAGCGAATTGTGAAATTTACATTTCCTGTTGATGTATTTACTGTTCTGCAGCTTTTCAACTGAAAACAGGGAACGGATGAACTCTTCCCTGTTGGTAACCAGGAGGGAAGGAGGAACCAAGTACATATCGCCTCCACTCAGGTTGAGAGAGGAATGCACCAGGGCGCGCGACCTTGAGAACACACACCTGGGGTGTCACCAGGCCCGGTTTACCCCCAGGGCTCAGACAGTGCCCATCACAAAGGGGGCGTCCAACAGAGACATGAGACGAACAACTCAACGGGGGAGTGACCCGGCTCTCGAAGGGCAGCCACTGACAGTTCAGGACGCAGACGCACACACAGGGTAAGGGCACCTACATAAGAAGCACTTCAAAGAACAAGTCACAAACATCTGCTCTCCCAAAGGAGGTCGGCCATACGGGCAGCGCTAGGCCTGGAGGGGGCCTTCCCTGAACATCTGATGGATGGACGTGCTGAGGGGCGTTCTCAGGAGAAGTCCACAGACTCATTACCTTCAATTGGCACCACAGATGGCTCTTTAATCGACGGAGAAATGGCTCGTTTTTCTGCCACTGCAGCCTCAGCCAGGCGCCCCAGGGCACTCAGTGGGGGTGTGGAGGAGAGTTTGGGGCGTTTGGTGAGACCGGTGAGGGCCGAGGCACTGGACAACGCAGCCGCCGCATCCCGCTTGCGCTCAGAAGGCAGGCCGGAAGGGGCTGGCTTCAGCAGGGTGGATGCCGTTTTCGATTCATTGGCCTGACCCTTTGAGCCCAGAGCAATGAAGTCTCCCGGGGGAGGGTGCCCTGCAGAGAAAGGAGAGAGAAAACCAGGTACATTCCCAACACCCAAGGTGGAAAAAGACTGACTCCAACCTCCTGTTATGTCAGAGGGAATTAAACAACGGTCAGAGAAGGCAAGGAAGAAGCCAGAGCTCACTCAGCAGCCAACAGCTGAGCAGGCACCAGCAAGATATGCACAAGTGACGGTGGACAGTCACATAGCGCTAACCACAAACCAGGCCATCTCTGGTCTATCCGAAACAGTGTGCTTAGCCCCCCGCCCCGCCCAAGTTTCCGCAATAGGTACCATTACCCTAACTTTACAGGGGAGAAAGGGACACAGAGAGGTTAAGCAATGTGTGCAGCGTTACACAGCAGGAGAGTGGCAGCTTTAAGCCCGGAGGATCTGAGCTGACAGTCTGGCTGCAGACCCCGTGCTACGCTACACTGTGCTCCCTCCTGCCTCCTGGCTGGGGAGACCCTTCCACTACTGTCAGCCGCCTTGCAGCTCAGCCTGAAACGAGATCACCGGGGTGCCGGAGGAAGTCGCCGCTGTCCCAAGCCTCCCAGGGACTCTCATAGCCGCTGAGGACCGAGAGCAGTGTTTCCAGATCCAATTCCTGGAAACAGCCGCGGCTGCGGAACAACCAAGCCGAAGGCAGGCTCCGGGGCAGTTGAGATCCCCAAAGACCCTCAAAGACCCCCGGGTTGCAGAGCGGGGAGAGACGCACCTGAGGGTTTGGCCGCGGCGCTGGGCCTGCGCACCGTGGTGGGCTTGGCCCGGTTCATCTTGCCGCGTCCCTCGTTGCTCCCGGCGGCTGCGGCGTCACCTGCGGAGGAGCCAGCGTGCGGTCATTCATTCATTCATTCATTCGCTCGCTCGCTCATTCGCTCGCTTACCGCACGGGGCTTGGGCGTGGGACCCGGGGACAGTGGCCCCGCGCCCGCCGGGAGGGGCGATGCTGCAGGAGCTGCAGGGACCCCGCCTCCCAGCCGCCCGGGAGCGGCTCAGTCGGGTGGCAGCAGGAGGCGCGGACGCCGAGCTGGAGGGGGCAGAACCATGAAGGACGGCCCCGAGGCAGGGCGGGGTAGCCGGGAGAACCAGGCGCTCACCTGGCAATGAGAGCGCGCCCAGGCCGCGGCTCACTTACCTCTGGCCCATCGCGACTACAGCCCAGCCGCCGCCACCCAGCCACCCCGGAATCGGAAACGGATCTCGCCACACTCAAGGACCCGACTTCCGGAACAACCGGAAGGAAAATAGTGAGGCGGGAAGCGGGCCCAGGGGGAGGTGCTAGAGGCTCGCGGCGCCGGCCTGATGCCTGCAGCGCCCTCTGGCGGCGGG